AATCTGTTGAAATAAATCTAGTCTTTGAAGTCACATAGTTTTGCTTTCCCAAATTACTTTTGCTATACTCTGTTCTTTGTACCTAACTTTGTATTTCTGTCCTAGTCCTCTTCACTTTTTCCTGGCACTGTTTTTATTTTTATGTTTGGTTCCTTCTAGTTGAAAGTATGTTCTTCATGTGAATTATTTCATCAGTCTCCCCACCCTGGTTGCTGTGTTTCAGTCTGTTGTAGCTGGTGTTTTTTTATGGTTGTCCAGTTGTCACAGAGCACTTTCAGGGTGCTCTTGGAGAAGTCTTTTCGACACAGGCTCTCTAATAGTGTTTGGTAACTTCTTTGCTTATTTGGATTCACTGTTTTTCCAGGATTTTCTGCCATCTGTGTTAATAACTTCGATTGGCCTGAATTTCCCTTTCTTACTTGATTTTTTTTTTCAAATGTATTTTTTTGTTTTTGAGAGAGAGAGTGCATGAGTTTGGGGGGTGGGGTGCAGAAAGAGAGGGAGACACAGAATCCAAAACAGGCTCCTGGCTGGGAGCTCTTAGCACAGAGCCTGATGCAGGGCTGGAACCTGCGAAGCAGGAGATGGTGTCCTGAGCCAAAGTCGGACACTTAACTGACTGAGCCACCCAAGCACTCCTCTTACCTGATTTTAGTATAAAGTTTATGCTGACCTTTTAAACCAATTTGAGAGTATTTCCTTTTTTTTCTTTTCTGGAGGAGTTTATGTAAGATAGGCCGTTTTGATTTTGTATATATTAAATAGAGTACCAGTGAAGATATATGGGTCTGAAGTTTTATTTGTGATAAGGCTTGGTTTGGCTTTTTTTTAAATTGTTAATTTATATAAAAAGTTATAGGGCTATTGAGCTTTTTTTTTTTTTGAGTCACCTTTGGCAAGTTATGCTTTTGTAACATTCATTTCAACTGACTAAAAATTGTTAAATTTATTGGCATAAACTAGTTAAAATGTATTCTTACTATCTTCTTCGTTTCAGTAGAATCTGTGGGGATATCCCCCCATTTCCATTTCTTTTTTTTTTTTTTTAATTTTTTTTTAAAATTTATTTTTAGGAGAGAGAGAGACAGCGTGAGCAGGGGAGGGTCAGAGAGAGAGGGAGTCACAGACTCTGAAACAGGCTCCAGGCTCTGAGCTGGCAGTCAGCACAGAGCCCGACACGGGGCCCGAACCCACGAACCGCGAGATCATGACCTAAGCGAAAGTCGGACGCTTAACCAATTAAGCCACCCAGACTTAACCAACTAAGCCACCCCCAATTTCCATTTCTGACAAAGGTGTGTGGGTGTGTATGTTTGCACATGCGCACCTTCTCTTTTTCTCAGTCTGGTCATGGATCTACCAATTTTATTGGTGATTTCAAAAAACTAACTTCTGGCTTTAATTGATGCTCCTGATTCTGTGATTGTTTTCTGTTTTATGAACTTTTATTTGTATTTTCACTAATGTTTACTTTCATTTTGTCTTTAGTTCCTTCCTTTCTTCCTCTCCTTTTTTGGTATTTAATTTCCTGTATTTTTTACAAATGGATGCTTCGCTTTTTGATTTTCAGCTTTTCTTTCCAAATACATGCATTTAAAGATACAAATTTCCTTTTAGTTCAGCTATATTTGTGTTCTCTAAGTTTTGATATGGAGTACTCTTATCATTCAAGTAGTAATTATATATGATAATCAAATGCTTCTGATTTTCATGGGGGAGGTGTTTTGAGCCTTTGATTATATGAGTATGAATTCTGAACATAGAGATTTTTAAGTGATTGCTTTGTTAATGATTTTTTGCTTATTTGCAGAAAAAGGTACTCTGGGTGATTTTGATTCTTTGAAATTTGTGGCTTGCTTAAATGGCCCAACATATGGCTAGTTTTCGTAAACATTCCATGTGTATTTGGAAAAACTATAGGGGCACCTGGGTGGTTCAGTTGGTTAAGCGTCTGACTCTTGATTTCAGCTTTGGTCATGGTCTCTTGGTTCATGGGTTTGAGCCTTGTATTGGGCTTTGCACTGACAGCATGGAGCCTGCTTGGGGTTCTCTCATGCGCGTGTGCTCTCTCGCTCTTGAGTGCTCTCTCGCTCTTTCTCCCTCTCTCTCTCTTTCTGCCCCTCCCCCACAAAATAAATAAACTTTATAAAAAAAGACAAAAAGATAGTTGTTGGACTATGATGAACTTAAATTAGGCTAAGCTTGCTAATCATTTAGATCTTCAATATTCATACTGATTCCCTTCCCCCCTTTTTTTTTGGTTTGGATATTTCAGTTACTTTATTTCCTTAACCTCCAATATCACAAAAAATGAACACATCTATGATTCTCTAAATTTATCTATTTTAATACTTAACAGCCTTTACAGGCATACATTGGTATGCCTGAATCACTTGTATTTTACCCACGTATTTTTTACTTAATATTTCTTGTTGTGGTAAAATATAAATAAAAATGGTTAAAATGATATGTTCAGTGGCATTAAGTACATTCACAGTACTGTGTAACCATCACAACCATTTCCAGAACCTTTTCATCATCCCAAATAGGAAAAATGCACTTGTTATGCGATAATTCTCCATTTCCTCCTTCTTCCAGTCCCTGTTAACCTCTGTATTACTTTCTGTCTGTATGAATTAGCCTGTTTTAAATACTTATATAAGGGGAGTCCTACAGTATTCTTTTCGTGTCTGGATTGTTTTACTTGGCATAATGTTTTTAATATTCATAATGTTGTAACATGTATCAAAGCTTCATGGCTTTTAAGGCTGAATAAATACTCCATTGTATGGATATACCACATTCTCTTTATCCATTCATCTGTTGTTGGACGTTTGGTTACTCACATTTTTTAGCTGTGTAAATAGTGCTGTTATAAACATAGATGTACAAGTATCTGTTTGACTCACTGTTTTCAGTTATTTTGGGTATATATCTAGGATTGGAATTGTTTGGCCATTCTGTACTTAACCTTTTGAGGAACTGTCAAACTGTTTTCTATAGCAGCTGCACCATTTTACATTCCCAACAGCAATGCATGTTTTCATGTTCTTCATTTGCTTGTCAGCACTTACTGTTTTCTGTTTTATTTGTGAGTAATAGCCATTCTGCTGGGTGTGAAGTGGTATTTTGTGCTTATAATTTGCATTTCCTTTATAAGTAATAATGTTGAACATCTTATCATTTGCTTATTGGCCATTCGTCTTTGAAGAAATATCTTGTCTCCTTTTGTGTCTTTTTAAAAATATATTTTATGTCTGTTATTTTCAGAACTGTTTAAGGCAATAATTAGAGTTCAAAGACAGTGATATTTTCAGAGAATTTTTGCCTTCTTATGACAAGTCCTTATTGAGATGAGTCAGAGCTGAACTTGTGATTTATACTTTTTACTTTTAGATCTCTCTTACTTCCAGAGGTAGAGACTTTCCAGATCCCAACACAGACTAAGTGGCATTTACTAATGCCCCCAACCTCTTGGTGGCTCCAGACTCCAATCCTTGTCTCTCTAGCCCCTCAAGACTGTCAGGCACACTTAACAGCCTCTTAACCTTCCCTTTGGAATCAGAGAAGTCCCCTGTAGGGGCTCCTGGCTGGCTCAGTTGGAAGAGGATGTAACTCTTAATCTCACGGTCATGAAGTTTGATCCCTACATGGGGTGTAGAAATCACTTAAAAAAAAAATAAAATTTTAGAGAAGAAAAGTCTCCAGGAGAAAAGCAACCTTGAATAACATACACTGTTTTAATAAAACCTCCCTGTGCTAGTGTCCCTCCAGGTGCTGTCTCTGCCCTTTTTTACTATTTTGTTATCTTTTGATGCCTGTAAAGAGCTCTAGCTTTTCTGGTTTTCCTCTCTAGGAGGATTGGTTTGTGTTAACCCAGTAATAGGAAAGCAAGTTTTAATTTTCATTGAAATAACAATTCTTTATGGTCAAGTGCTTATTTCATTGGCTTGTTTTATATTTAATAACGTCATTATAGTAAGGACTATAGCTAGCATACACGCATTTAGAAAAAAACGCTCCTGATGATTGTTACCATATAACTCAGTTGTTGAGACTAGAAATAAATAAAAGTATTATTTATATACTGCTTGCAGTTTGTTTATTTTTATTTTTTCAGTTTATTTATTTGAGAGAGTGGAGAGGGCCAGAGAGAGAAGGAGAGAGAGAGAGAATCCCACGCAGGCTCTACACTGTCAGTGCAGAGCCTGACATGGGGCTTGAACTCACAAACTGTGAGATCATGACCTGAGCCAAAATCAGGAGTCTGGAGTTTGACCAACTGAGCCAGTAAGCTCCCCTGCAGTTTGTTTTTTTAAAGAGGAGATGTAGCACATTAGTTAATCCAGTGAGTTTTTAAGTGGAGGTTGATTAATATCTTCATATGGTTCTTTTGTTTGAAGCTTGTATACCATAGACGTTCTTGCCTTAAGTAAACCTTCTATACACAAACCTGAAATTTTGTGGTTATTTGCATCTTTGAATATCAGGGGTTTTTACTCCTATTTCTTTCTTGTCATCATTAAAAAGAAATCTTATTTAGTCAGCAAATACCTCTTTCCTATTTAAGACAGCATGCCAAGTTCTTTGAGGAGATAGTCATAAATCCTGACTATCAAAAAAGGAACAGAATGTTTAAAGAGAGGAGACATGTAGAGAATTAGTCAAAACATGAGACATAGTGTGATGGGGTATCTAAGTGCCTGGATAAAGTGTTCAAGATTCAGAGAAGGATGACTGTTTTCAAGGGGGATTCCCCACTTTTTTTTGAATGTGCTTAGCATTCCAAACAGCAGAGTGTAATATATTTGAGACCTTACGTTCTGGTTATGTATTAAAGATTGTGAATTGAAACCTCTTAGGCTGTTTTTATATATGTAGGAGCTGAACAAGAGTGCTCTTTTTGACTCCAGTTTTTAAGGTAATGACAGTGATGTGATTATGTGTGCCTGAGTTTTTGTTTTTGTTTTTTGTTTTCTTCTTTTGGTCTCTGTTTATAGGAAGAGCATTAAGAAGTTGGTTTTGAAAAACCTTAACAATAGCAATCTCTTCTCTCCTGTTAATCGTGACTCTGAAGATCTTGCTTCACCATCTGATTATCCAGAAAATGGGGAGAGGTAAACCAGATTTTGTTTTGGGTTGTTTCGGGTAGAGAACCCTATTCTCATTTTGAAGAGATTCTAAGCTTGGAATTTACTCATTGTATGAAAATGTATGAAGTTTGGTGAATGTTGCGTAGTATTACAGCATATGAGCATCTAGAAATTAAGTGTTGTTCTTGTTTTTTGAGTACTTTAGACCTTAAAATTATTGATTTTTATCTGATTCAGTTTTGCATAACTATTTTGGTATTTATTTGGTATCCATGCATGTTATTTTGGACAGGGTTCTCACATATTTGACATTCTTCACCACCTTTAAAATGAGGGATATCTTATTTGTGATCATTATCAAAGTGATTCATGGTCACTGTAACCAAAGGGGGGAAAGATAGTATAGAAAAAAAAAAGTATAGAAGTGTATAAAAGAGGAAGTGGAAATATTCACAGTAACCCTTGATAGTTTGGTATATATTTTTATGATTTTGAAATTTTTTTATATAGATAGATATTGTAGAGATAGGCATGAATGATACAATATTTAATAGCTTTCTTATTTCCATTTATTTTATTATAAATACCTTTCTGTATCAATGTGAATATATATGCTTATGACTTGATAGCCATTATTGTGAATATATGATAATTAGTCCTCCATTTGAAGACATTTAGATTATTTTGATATTCGTATATTCAGAATAATGCCTCGGTGAAAAATTCTATGTACATCTTTGCTTTCCTGTTTTTCTCTTTGGATAAAATTCTAGTTTGAGTTTTCATTAATGAAGCATTTTCTAATAGCTTGCTGATAATATTTAAAATCTAAGGTATTTTAATTTTTTCAATTAGAAATTCACCACTCTTATTTGACCTTACATAGAGTGCCTTTTTTTTTTTTTTTTTTTAAACTAAAATTG